CAGGTAAACAAACTGTAACGTCTGCAGGTAAACAGGCTGTAATGTCTGCAGGTAAACAGGCTGTAATGTCTGCAGGTAAACAGGCTGTAATGTCTGCAGGTAAACAGGCTGTAATGTCTGCAGGTAAACAGACTGTAACGTCTGCAGGTAAACAGGCTGTAATGTCTGCAGGTAAACAGGCTGTAATGTCTGCAGGTAAACAGGCTGTAATGTCTGCAGGTAAACAGACTGTAACGTCTGCAGGTAAACAGACTGTAACGTCTGCATGTAAACAGACTGTAACGGTAACGTCTGCAGCGGGTAAACAGACTGTAACGGTAACGTCTGCAGGTAAACAGACCGTAACGTCTGCAGCGGGTAAACAGACTGTAACCTTTGCAGCGGGTAAACAGACTGTAACGTCTGCAGCAGGTAAACAGACTGTAACGTCTGCAGAGGGTAAACAGACTGTAACGTCTGCAGGTAAACAGGCTGTAACGTCTGCAGCGGGTAAACAGGCTGTAACGTCTGCAGCGGGTAAACAGACTGTAACGTCTGCAGAGGGTAAACAGGCTGTAGCGTCTGCAGCAGGTAAACAGGCTGTAACGTCTGCAGTGGGTAAACAGACTGTAACGTCTGCAGTGGGTAAACAGACTGTAACGTCTGCAGGTAAACAGACTGTAACCTTTGCAGGAGGTAAACAGACTGTAACGTCTGCAGCGGGTAAACAGACTGTAACGTTGCAGCGGGTAAACAGACTGTAACGTTTGCAGCGGGTAAACAGACTGTAACGTCTGCAGGTAAACAGACTGTAACGTCTGCAGCGGTAAACAGACTGTAACGTCTGCAGTCGTAAACAGACTGTAACGTCTGCAGGTAAACAGACTGTAACGTCTGCAGGTAAACAGACTGTAACGTCTGCAGCGGGTAAACAGACTGTAACGTCTGCAGTGGGTAAACAGACTGTAACGTCTGCATGTAAACAGACTGTAACGTCTGCAGCGGGTAAACAGACTGTAACGTCTGCATGTAAACAGACTGTAACGTCTGCAGCGGGTAAACAGACTGTAACGTCTGCAGGTAAACAGATTGTAACGTCTGCAGCGGGTAAACAGACTGTAACGTCTGCAGCGGGTAAACAGACTGTAACGTCTGCAGCGGGTAAACAGACTGTAACGTCTGCAGCGGGTAAACAGTCTGTAACGTCTGCAGGTAAACAGACTGTAACGTCTGCAGCGGGTAAACAAATTGTAACGTCTGCAGCAGTTAAACAGGCTGTAACGTCTGCAGCGGGTAAACAGACTGTAACGTCTGCAGCGGGTAAACAGGCTGTAACGTCTGCAGCGGGTAAACAGGCTGTAACGTCTGCAACGTCTGCAGGTAAACAGGCTGTAACGTCTGCAGCGGGTAAACAGACTGTAACGTCTGCAGCGGGTAAACAGACTGTAACGTCTGCATGTAAACAGACTGTAACGTCTGCATGTAAACAGACTGTAACGTCTGCAGCGGGTAAACAGACTGTAACGTCTGCATGTAAACAGACTGTAACGTCTGCAGCGGGTAAACAGACTGTAACGTCTGCAGCGGGTAAACAGACTGTAACGTCTGCATGTAAACAGACTGTAACGTCTGCATGTAAACAGACTGTAACGTCTGCAGCGGGTAAACAGACTGTAACGTCTGCAGGTAAACAGACTGTAACGTCTGCAGCGGGTAAACAGACTGTAACGTCTGCAGCGGGTAAACAGGCTGTAACGTCTGCAGCGGGTAAACAGGCTGTAACTTCTGCAACGTCTGCAGGTAAACAGGCTGTAACATCTGCAGCAGGTAAACAGGCTGTAACGTCTGCAGGTAAACAGACTGTAACGTCTGCAGCGGGTAAACACTCTGTAACGTCTGCATGTAAACAGACTGTAACGTCTGCAGCGGGTAAACAGACTGTAACGTCTGCATGTAAACAGACTAACCTCTGCAGCGGGTAAACAGACTGTAACGTCTGCAGCGGGTAAACAGACTGTAACGTCTGCAGGTAAACAGACTGTAACGTCTGCAGCGGGTAAACACACTGTAACGTCTGCATGTAAACAGACTGTAACGTCTGCAGCGGGTAAACAGACTGTAACGTCTGCATGTAAACAGACTAACCTCTGCAGCGGGTAAACAGACTGTAACGTCTGCATGTAAACAGACTGTAACATCTGCAGGTAAACAGACTGTAACGTCTGCAGCGGGTAAACAGACTGTAACGTCTGCATGTAAATAGACTGTAACGTCTGCAGCGGGTAAACAGACTGTAACGTCTGCAGGTAAACAGACTGTAACGTCTGCAGCGGGTAAACACACTGTAACGTCTGCATGTAAACAGACTGTAACGTCTGCAGCGGGTAAACAGACTGTAACGTCTGCATGTAAACAGACTAACCTCTGCAGCGGGTAAACAGACTGTAACGTCTGCATGTAAACAGACTGTAACATCTGCAGGTAAACAGACTGTAACGTCTGCAGCGGGTAAACAGACTGTAACGTCTGCATGTAAACAGACTGTAACGTCTGCAGCGGGTAAACAGACTGTAACGTCTGCATGTAAACAGACTGTAACCTCTGCAGCGGGTAAACAGACTGTAACGTCTGCAGGTAAACAGACTGTAACCTCTGCAGCGGGTAAACAGACTGTAACCTCTGCAGCAGGTAAACAGACTGTAACGTCTGCAGCGGGTAAACAGACTGTAACGTCTGCATGTAAACAGACTGTAACGTCTGCAGTGGGTAAACAGACTGTAACGTCTGCATGTAAACAGACTGTAACGTCTGCAGTGGGTAAACAGACTGTAACATCTGCATGTAAACAGACTGTAACCTCTGCAGCAGGTAAACAGACTGTAACGTCTGCAGTAGGTAAACAGACTGTAACATCTGCATGTAAACAGACTGTAACCTCTGCAGCAGGTAAACAGACTGTAACCTCTGCAGCGGGTAAGCAGACTGTAACGTCTGCAGCGGGTAAACAGACTGTAACCTCTGCAGCGGGTAAACAGACTGTAACGTCTGCAGCGGGTAAACAGGCTGTAACGTCTGCAGCGGGTAAACAGACTGTAACATCTGCATGTAAACAGACTGTAACCTCTGCAGCGGGTAAACAGACTGTAACCTCTGCAGCGGGTAAACAGACTGTAACGTCTGCAGCGGGTAAACAGACTGTAACCTCTGCAGCGGGTAAACAGACTGTAACCTTTGCAGCGGGTAAACAGACTGTAACGTCTGCAGACGGCAAAAGATTTTCGTCAACATTGGATTGTTTCAAAACCCTTGGTATCGGAAAGGTGTGTGTGTGTGTGTGTGTGTGTGTGTGTGTGTGTGTGTGTGTGTGTGTGTGTGTGTGTGTGTGTGTGTGTGTGTGTGTGTGTGTGTGTGTGTGTGTGTGTGTGTGTGTGTGTGTGTGATCTGCACATAAAGGCATGCTTCCTTCTACAGCTTCAGGATGTTTATAATCTCACAGCTGGGACCTTGATAATGGCAAAAGGGTTCACAGAAACCGAAAGAGGCGGGGCCACAAACAGTGTACACAAAGAGGAAAAGGTGTGTGTGTGTGCATGTAGGGGAAAGAGAACTGAAACAAGGATAGGAGTCCAGAAAATTCTTTTAGATTATTTGTTAGAAAGAAGTGGTGACAAATAACCTGCAAGAAATCCATTCCTTTAAATAGTTTCCTGATCAACCGCTCCTTCTGCCTGACTCTCTCATCGGTCTCTTCAAAGACACCAGACTCCATTTACAGAACCCTTCATTTGACCCCGCAGCAGAGCACAGGAGCTGTTGTTCTGCAGCTGCTTTGATCGGTTGCTTTGTGTGTTGTTGTGACTTTGGTGTGTTTAATGGATAGAGGCTGCACAATAATAACACAAACAAACCAGTGAGGCCGCAGACTGCCACACACACTGCTGTGATGTGAGAGGTCAAATGACTGTTTTTGTGACTGGAGTCTGGTGGATTTAGAAGAGAGACGAGAGACAAGACAAAGCCGTGTCCTCTCACTGCTTTGTGTCATTTACAGACACGTCATTAACTGCTCTGATAAATCCAGAGGGGGGTGGGGGGGGGGGTTCTCAGCTGCGTCTTCCTCCCCACATGTCACTTCCTCCTGATTGTGTTGTTTGTGTTTCCTTCATTCCTCCAGGCTCCGGTTGCAGGTTTGTCGGTCAGAGATGGTGATTCTCCAGATCTCTGGTGTGGGAGGGGAGTTTGAACTTGGACGTCTCTCTCAGCCTAACAGACGCTCGCTGGCATAAAAAAACTGAAGGCTCCTCGACGAGTTGTCACTATACCAGATTTATAAACTTTGATACAATACTAGGAAAACTCAAACAACATGGATCCCTGTTTCAATACCATGGCAACAAGAATAAATGTCCTCAGCGTTCATATGGCTTTGCCAACATATTTGTGCATGTGGAGGAAGCTTGTTAATGTCATATGTTGAAAAAATCAAAACCAACATTAAAAACACACCTGGCTGTGGGTTCTGGAGGTCTTGCATGAAGTGTTTGTGCGCTCAGAAGAAAAGCGCTGCACTACCATCCGGTGTCTCCGATGCCTCTACTGTATGTTTTATATTTAGAAGTGATAAACAGACGAGTCATTGAAAGGAGGAGAGCGTTTCCCTGCAGAGTGTGTGGGACTGTCAGAAGAAGACGTAGTGCACGGGGAGATTCTCCTCTAATCTGTCTTCTGCTGTACTGTCGTTTCTATCAGATGAAAAACAAACGTACATGACGTTACATGTTATTTCAACTTAATCCAGAAGTTTAGTTTGGCGGCTGCTTGGTTTGTGGACCGCCAAATAAATAACGAGGCCACCATGTGCAGGCTGCTGGACTTCAGGGGAGCTAGGGGACAGAAAACAAACAGTTTTGACTCGACAGAGGCTAAATATTGAAAATAGCTTGACATAATATTAATTTGAAATTGTCTCGTTGACTCTGAATGAATGTCTGACTCCTCCTCTCATTTCTCCTCCTCCTCAGCTGATCCCCTGCAGCTCCATGCGTCCACGCCGGCTCTGCACGCCGTCCAGCTGAGCTCCTCCCTCCCTCCTGCTCCGGCATCATGTCGGCGGCTCAGACCCAGAAGGAGAGCAGCGAGGCGGGCTGGGGCTGCCTGGAGGCTCTGGGTCTCAGCCAGAAGGAGCTGGTCTTGGCCGAGGCCCTGCAGATGGAGTACGACGCCCTCTCCAGACTCAAACAGGACAAGAGCGACACCGGGACCAGCCAGACCCCCGGTCCTAGAGCTCACAGCCAGGTCCGCTCCAAGACCCCCAATCCCACTATCGAACGCCCCAGGCCCATCCCAAGCCAGCCCTGTCCTTCCTCCATAGGAGGAGGTCTGCTGAGAGGCCTCTCTGGGTCAGACCCCTCCCTGAACCAACCTGGAGGGTCACAGTCTCCGCCCTCCATCCCATCACGGGCGCCCCCTACTCAGGGGGGCTTCATCAAAGAGTCCCTTTACATCCTGGACGGTCCGGACGCCAACAAGTTCAGGGACAGCTCAGGAACTGGCCTCGGGGACTCACACGGGTCAGGGTCAGGGTTTCTGTCTAAAGGCTTCCCCTCTCTTCTTGACGACGTGCCCCCCGCCATCCCCCCGAGGAATCCCCTCCCCCATTCGTCAGGCTCAGAGAACCCCTTCCTGCCCTCTCGAGGGTCCACCATGCCCCGTGATGTGAACTTGTTCACGCCTGATGTGGATCAGCCCAAAGTGACCTCAGGAGAGCTGAACTATGACATCATCAACGACTCACTGTCCCGACTCAACGAGAACCGACAGGGGCCCCGAGGTCGGAGGGCCAATGGGGACCAATCAGGGAAGCCTGTTGCTCGGAGTAAGACCCTCCCCCCTCAAGTCCCACCCAGGACTTACGTACCTGTTCCCAAGAGCAACAAGAACCAGCGGCGGGTTTCTGCAGACCCGGTAAGAACCTGAGAATCAATCTGGACACCTCAACAACGGATTCTGTTTCCTGTTCGACCAAAGTTTAGAAAAATATGAAAAAAGTTTTTAAAACTGTTAAGAAAAGTTTAAACAGTTTTAGATGAAGTATCTGAAATCTTTTGAAATTTTCCTTAAAATTTCCCAAAAAATTCTGATGAAATTTGAATTTAATAATTAGAATTAGATATTTATTTAAAGTGTCAAAATATTTAAATTCTACGTAAGATTTCGAACATTTTTGACAAAATTTCCAAAAAGTTTTGGTGGGAAGTTAAAAAAAAGAAATCTCAAGTTTTAAAAACTGTCGACTCACATTTTGAGGAAAGTTTAAAAACTTCCAAACAACTGTTTACTGAAAAAAAGTAACAAAATGATGAGTTCATTCATTAATTTAACAAAATTTAACAAAAAGTTAAACAAGTTTTGACAAAACGTTGGGGAAACCTCTGAAAATAGTGACTAAAGTTTCTTACATCTTCTTACATAAACAGAAGATTATGTCAAGATTTAATGTTTTAATCGCAAACGTCTTCCTTGTTAGAAAACAGAGAGTCACCATGACGACGGATACAACCTTTGATTCCCGGTTCTTGTGTCACCGTTTGTTTTCATTCCTCGTGTGTTCCTGTTCATTTTCTAATGAAGTAAACACAGGTGTCCTCCGCTCAGCGCTCTGTTGATGTGTGTAAACCGATCACACTCACAGTCGGTCAGTAAACAGTCCGACCAGCTGGAGCTGAGGCGACGGCGAGATTTAACATCAACAACAAACCTGCAGGTTACTTTGTGTTTGAAACTCCCCCTCGCACTGAAGCTTCTTTAAACCTTCATGTCGGTTAAATCTAAACACTAATATATCAGCGCCAGACAATCTGTAACAGGTCGGTTCATGTCACATCATGCTGCAACCATCGCAAAGCCGCCATGACTGTCATGACATGTCTATCGTTGCCGTGGAAACACCAGATGTAACCTCAAAGGCCGCTGCATAAAGAAGCTCGTCTTTAAACATATTCTCTTCCTGGGGTCGGTTTCACCCCGTCGCCATGACTACTACATGACTGTTTTCTGGCTTAACTTTGAGCCGTTGATGAAGAAGAAGACGACCACTCACAAACCAGAAACAGCAGCAGAGCGGCGTTCTACAAACTCTCCTGATCCAGTTGCCACAGAATTAATGATTCTTATATTTTATTACATAATTTTTGCCGTAAAAACGAACCTGCTGTGTCATAAGAATAGAAAAGGAAATACTCTGCTCTGATTGGTCGGCTCTGTGTGATTGACAGGTGTCGCTGGGATCCAGGATGAATGGATTTGGATATGAACTGTTTCAGGTTTCTGAGGAGAGAGACGAGGAGGTGGCAGCTTTCTGTCACATGCTGGATGTGTGAGTAACACACACACACACACACACACACACACACACACACACAGCAGTAACAAACAGAGTCTCTCCTTCAACAACATGATGTCATCGTCTCTCTACGTCGGCGGCGGCGTCTGAGAGTGTAAACTGAGAGTCTTTGTAGTGTTTGTTTTGTACTCAGAGAACCTTCAGTCAGAGAGACACAGCCGGTTATTGACCCGCAGCTGCAGAGCAGAGCAGCACACGAGGGGTTAAACAGCAAACATGTGAACGTGCAAAGTCCAGAATCTGAGGCCGCCATCCAGCCAACCAGG